TATGGAACCTGACTGCTCATACAAGGAGAAAATCGTGGTTAGAAAAAACGCGCATTTGCAAGAGCTTGTCTTCATGTAAAGATAATATATATGTATAGTATATATAACATATATATACTATATATAGTCTTTATATAGTTATATATTTAAATTTATATATTATAAATATAATATATAATATTTAAATATATTAAATGATATAAATATAATGTATATTATATATTTTATATAATATTTATAATATACATTTAAATTTAAATATATCTAAATGTATCTCTAAAGACTATATATATATATTTTATGTCATTTATATGTCATATAAAGACACATAAAGAAACATTAACAGGATGCTCAAGAAATGATCAACACTCATTTTCGGGGATGGCTGAAGCCAGAGCTCCGGAGTGGACCAGGATGTTCTGGCACTGAGTCTCCTTAGACTATATTTTACATATTTTTGCTAACGCTTGCATATATTATTTAAGGTAAACAGTAATATATATAAACCATAGTTTTTCTTTTTAATACCCTTTCTTTTGAATAATCTTACTATGCTTTTTAAAATTTAATGAAAAATTAGGAAAAAATTAGGAAACATTAGGAAAATTAGGAAACCATTCTAAGATTTCATCCTTTAAACATGAACACTTGGGGCGCCTGGGTGGCTCAGTGGGTTAAAGCCTCTGCCTTCGGCTCAGGTCATGATCCCAGGGTCCTGGGATCGAGCCCCACATCGGGCTCTCTGCTCAGCGGGGAGCCTGCTTCCCCCTCCCCCCGCCTGCCTCTGCCTACCTGTGATCTCTGTCAAATAAATAAAAAAATCTTTAAAAATAAATAAATAAACGTGAACACTTATGGGGTGCCTGGGGGGCTCAATCAGCTGAGTGTCCAGTTCTTGATTTCAGCTCAGGTCATGATTTCCAGGCTGTGGGACTAAGCCCTGTGTTGGGCACTGTGCTCAGCAGGGAGTCTGTTTGAGATTTTTCTCTCTCTCTCCCTCTGCCCCCACCTCATGTGCGGGCATGCTCTCCCGCTTTAAAATAAATACATATTAAGAAAAATAAACATAGGGATGCCGGGGTCGCTCAGTCGTTGAGCGTCTGCCTTCGGCTCAGGTCATGATCCCAGGGTTCTGGGATCGAGCCCCGCATCAGGCTCCCTGCTCAGCTGGAAGCCTACTTCTCCCTCTCCCACTCTCCCTACTTGTGTTCCCTCTCTCTGTCAAATAAATATATAAAATCTTTTAAAAAATGAATATTTATAAAAGTTTAAGCCATGAGAAACAAAAAGAATTTCAAATCTCTTTGCATAATAAAAGGCACCACAGTTGGTGGAAAAATTGTATAGCTATGTATAGAAGAATGAAACTTGACCATTCTCTTATACCATACACAATGATAAACTCAAAATGGATAAAAGACCTCAACGTGAGGCAGTAATCTATCAGAATCCTAGAGGAGAACATAGGCAGTAATCTCTTCGATATCAGCCACAGCAACTTCTTTTAAGATATGTCTCCAAAGGCAAAGGAAACAAAAGGGAAAATGAACTTTTGGGACTTCATCAAGATCAAAAGCTTCTGCACAGCAACGGAAACAGTCAACAAAACAGAGAGACAACCCACAGAATGGGAGAAGATATTCACAAATGACACTACAGACAAAGGGCTGATATCCAAAATCTATAAAGAACTCCTCAAACTCAACACTCAAAAAACAGATAATCACGTCGAAAAATGGGCAGAAGACATGAACAGACACTTCTCCAATGAAGACATACAGATGGCTAATAGACATACGAAAAAATGTTCATCATTATTAGCCATCAGGGAGATTCAAACCAAAACCACAATGAGATACCACCTCACACCAGTTAGAATGGCCAAAATCAACAAGCCAGTAAACAACAAGTGTTGGAGAGGATGTGGAGAAAGGGGAACCCTCTTACACTGTTGGTGAGAATGCAAGTTGGTGCAGCCACTTTGGAAAACAGTGTGGAGATTCCTCAAGAAATTAAAAATAGAGCTTCCCTATGACCCTGCAATTGCACTACTGGGTATTTACCCCAAGGATACAGATGTAGTGAAAAGAAGGGCCATCTGTACCCAATGTTCATTGCAGCAATGGCCACGGTCGCCAAACTGCGGTAAGAACCAAGATGCCCTTCAACGGACGAATGGATAAGGAAGATGTGGTCCATATACACTATGGAGTATTATGCCTCCATCGGAAAGGATGAATCCCCAACTTTTGCATCAACATGGATGGGACTGGAAGAGATTATGCCGAGTAAAATAAGTCAAGCAGAGAGAGTCAATTATCATATGGTTTCACTTACTTGTGGAGCATAAGGAATAACACGGAGGACACTGGGAGAAGGAGAGGAGAAGGGAGTTGGGGGAAACCGGAGGGGGAGACGAACCATGAGAGACTGTGGACTCTGGGAAACAAACTGAGGGTTTTGCGGGGGAGGGGGCTGGGAGAGCCTGGTGGTGGGTATTAAGGAGGGCACGTATTGCATGGAGCACTGGGTATGATGCATAAACAATGAATCTTAGAACACTGAAAAAATTAAAGTAAATAAAAAACACGAAAAAGAAAAAAAAGGCACCATAGTTTCTTCTCTCAACTTTCACTGGGGGGGGTTAAGATTAAGTAGCATATTATAATGCACTAGGGATTTGGCCTTCAGACATTAAATGTATGGGAATTATCAAAGATTTATGCAAGTTTTGAGCAGTTTTCCTTGTATCAATTAAAAGAGGAATTAATTTGCCTTAACCTTTAACAGTATTACAGCATCCAAATTTCCAAAGCTCCCTCTACACACACACACAAAACCTGACCTAAAATGTAAAACCTACCTGAGAATCTCAAATACCCCCATCTCGCCTCTTGAGAACCTTTTGCCTAAAGGGAACAAACATTGTTTGGTTCCAGGATTCTTTCCATTACTTCCATTGTATCTTTCAATCGACCTGTATTTTCAAAATCCAATAACTAAAAATTTCATGCTCTCACAAAGCAAACAGTATCACACATGGCTGAGGGAAGCTACCTAAAGTTAAAGGTTACAAAATGCAATATACAAACATATACAAGGAAAGAAATGCAAATATTTGAATCAGGTGAGATAAGCAGCCTGCTTCCACAGGTCAGAAGGAAAATTCATATTCCCAGCTTGTGGTCCAGATGGCACCTGTTGGAATACGACCTCTAGAATCAGAGAGGAGGTTTGGGGAGGAACACTTGGAGCCCCAGGAATGAAGTCTGGGAGCTACGTACACAACTCTCTTAGGGCATAATGGAAACATTCCTCTCTCAGGGTTCCATTCGCATAAGTTAAGAAACTACTGGCCAGATTTGGTGTAAGGATCTAACTCAAAAGAACTCCCCAATTCACAAACACTTGGTCCAGAAGACCTATCTCCTGACCTTCACAGACTTTCTCAATGTACAAAATTACTCTGAGTGCACCTACACTGCGCACGCAAAGCTCAAGCTTATGTCTAGAAACAGGCACAAAGAAACCACAATTTCCACCTCAGGAAGAGCAGCACTGCCCTGTCCTGTAATCCCATCCCCCATGTACACAGGCATCCCAGCTTTCCTTGGTTCTCTAGCTTTTCTCAGTTCCTTCTGTGGTGTCTTCCAGGAAGAACCAGCTGGGCCTTCAAGTACCTCCCTTCTCAGGCTCAAGGGGGAGTCCTTACCTTAGAAACACTGACCTCAGGCTTCTGCTTCCTACCAAGTTGCTCTGAACCACCAATACCTCAAAAGTGATAAGCCTAGTGTTTGGACAAAATCAAACCCGGTGTTTATGAATAAGGGAGGAAAGAAAACTAAGGATTCTTCTAGTAACAAAAGGAACACACCAACATCTACTTCTTTAGAAAATATAAATATGTTGGTTAATTACAATTTCCATGGCAAGAAACTGTTTGGAAACAATCATAATTGAACACCCTTCTAGGTACTGCAAGTCTAAGTCCTGATACTGCATTTCAAATCACCTAAAAGGACGAATCTCTGGGCCTTAACACACCCGCTCACGGGAAGGAAAAAAAAGGAAACAAAATTTGTAATAAATGTAACAATGGAATTTTTTTTCCCCTGAAATTCACCCCTTTCTTGCCTCTTTGTAAAATTTCATACTTTGGAGATCTACTGGTTAAAAACATTTTAACTTAACCGAAAAATGCAGGCTTAAAATTGAATAAAGTCACAAACTCACGTAGGGTCAATACTGACAGGAGACAACACTCAGGGAAGTCTCCAAGGAGGAACCGCCAACCAAAGGACTTCCCATAGGATGTCGATGCCCAGGGAAGACCCTGGGAGGAGAGGCAAAGGGATTTCATGCGACATATTCCAGGTGGTTAGTCTTGGCTCTCCACTTAAGTAAAACATCCATGGGCCAAAAAGATAAATCTTTAAAAAGAGCCATCCGTGGCTCTGTGGGTAAATGATAAAATACTGCGTAATATGAAATGCATCCCGGAAAACAAATAGTTAATAATGATGCTCTGAACTAGAGAGGAAAGATGGCGTTTCAGAAAACACGGAAAGATCTGGAAATTGAGGCATTTATTGCCAGTCCCATGAAGAGCTAGGCTGGGGGCACAGGGTCGTGACTTTGAGACCCTACTCCCAAATGTTTGGAAAAGTGCGGGGAAACCGGGTCCCCCCAGGGAGAGAGGGAAGGGGACCCCAGAGACCACAGCACCTCCCACACATGAACCCGGGAGACCGAGGCATGACCGTCCCCTGATGACCCTCCCTGTGGTCATCGCCCGATCTGAGGGAGACGCGGCCACGCAGGGACGGGAGAGGATGGCATGGGTCCCTGCGGCCGGGCCGGCCCCGCGCTGTGTGCCGCGCCATCCGCGGCCTCGGGTCCCCAGACTCCGGAGTTCACCGCGGGGAAGCCAGGTCCAGCCACGGCCGGTTCCAGCCGGTCCCACTGCCCCCCTTTCCCGACTCCCGGCCCCGCACACTCACCATTTGCCCGCTTTCTGGGGTACCGGGTCGACCACCATGCGATTGCCGCGGCCGGCGGAGCTCACGGCGACAGAGGATGTGGCGGAAGCTCCCCAAGCCTTTCAGGACAGCGCGAGGTGATGCGAGCCTCGGCCGGACAGCGGCGACGGCACCCAGTCCCCGCCGTCCACAGCGCGTCGCCCGCACGTACGGTTCCAGCGACTCCCCTGATTGGGCCGTTCGCGAGGCCCCGCCCCCGCCCGCCTGAGCGACAGCGGGCCGGAGGTCACGTCTTTGAGTCGACCTTGCTTGGGCGGCGGGCTGCAACCTGGTCTCTCCGAGGACGTCGCTCTGAACCGTGAGGCCACCAGGCCACTCACGGAGCCGTGACCCTTCCTCACAAACACGGACCCAAGTGACCTCACCGTAGGTAGTGCGGAGTCTGGTTCCATTTGGATCTTGGACCATCTGCCATCAGGGAGTCTTCTGCCCACCACGCCCCCCAACCGCACTCCTTTGTATGGAAAGAATCTCGAAGCCTTGGGCCACTTAGCTTGCTGGGAGGTTTGAACCCCACAGTCCTAGACCAGCCCCGAAGCCTCAGGTGCTCGCAGGTCAGAAACATACTGAGGCAAAAACCCACTGGAAAACCTTTCAGCGTCATTCCGTGGATACTTACCTGCTCAAAGGTCAGAGGAGGAAAACGGAAAGAACACCGCTTAGGGAAAAATAAGAGATGGTAAAGGTATCGAGGATAAACAAAAGCATGGGGACAACGGTCATCGAAGGGGCAGGACAGAGGTGAGCCACGGAGGGGAACATGAGACTCTGACTACTGCCCACACTTAGGAATCTTGATGATGACTTCGGGAATGTTTGTATTATTAGCAAATCCTACCGCAAAACATTTTGTACATTCTTTCCTCAATATATTTGATGATAAACAATTTTAAGAAGTAATTAAGGTTGAAAAAAGAACATAATTTGTATGTTTGTTTTTTCTGTAACGTGGCAATGTGAGCTTTCATTTCCAGCTTTAGCAGAAACCCCCAAGGTTTGGTTGAAAAGTAGAAACTAAAACATACCTACTAGGAATACATGAAAGGGTTTGTTACTTTCATAATGGAAGTTTCTGGGGAGGACAAGGCAAGCCTCTCAAGCAGGTGGGAATGCCTTGACAGAGCAAGGAAAGGAGACAGGCGTGTATTTTTTTTTAAATTTCTCTTTTATTTATTTTTTTAAAAGATTTTATTTATTTCTTTGACAGACAGAGATCACAAGGAGGCAGAGAGGCAGGCGGGGTTGGGGAGAGAAGCAGTCTCCCCGCTAGGCAGAGAGCCTGATGCAGGGCTCTATCCCAGGACCCTGGGATCACAACCAGAGCCGAAGGCAGAGGCTTAATCCACTGAGCCACCCAGGCGCCCCGACAGGCATGTGTTTTTACTGAGGGTGGTTGGAGGGTGGCTAGGTGAGAGTTTAGGGACTTACTGTGACTGACTCTCTTGCCAGGGCCAAAGCTGAGCACCCAGGCTTTCTGAATTAGCTCGTACAGATGTGGAGCACAGAGGGATGAGGGAGAGGTAAAACTCTAAAGCAGTCAGCTGTCAGATAGTAGAAAATATATACATATTGCTCTCTTCCAAATTCCTGGAGCTTGTAAATTCCTAGAGATAAGAGTACTAGGAGCCATTCTTGTTCTAATATTTGGTCTTTGATTCCATCCCTGACATAGGGCTCCTGAAACCATGTAAAGTCCTAAGTGATAAGAGCACTAGAAGCATCTTTTGTTCTAATGAGGTGACTCTGGGTAGGCTCTTGGGTGGGGACTGGTCATCAGAAAGTCCAAGCCATGCTTAGAAGCTTTGAATTTTTAGCTCAGCTCATCCTCCAGAAAGGAGAGAGAAGCTAAAAATGGAGTTAATATTTGATCATGTTTAGGGAGGGATGCCTGGGTGGCTCAGCCGGTCAAACACCTGAGTCTTGATTTCAGCTCAGGTCATACTTTCAGGGTCCTGGGATCAAGCCCCCCATTGCGCTCCATGCTTAGCAGGGAGTCTGCTTGAGGATTCTCTCTCTCCCTCTGCCCCTCCCCCACTTCTCTCTTTCTAAAATAGAGAATTCAGTCTTTTAAAAAAATGATCATGTCTACATTAGTAAGCCTCCATAAAATCCCAATGGTATGAGGTTTGGAGACTTTGCAGGTTGGGGAACACATCCACGTACTAGGAGGGTCGCATACTCCAACTCCATAGGGGCCCTCCAAGAACTCTCTCAACATATGTTTTCTTTTTAAAAGTTTTAAAAGATTTTATTTATTTGACAGACAGAGATTACAAGTAGTAAGAAAGGCAGGCAGAGAGACGGGGGGAAGCAGGATCCCCATGGAGCAGAGAGCCCGATGTGGGGCTTGACCCCAGGATCCTGGGATCATGACCTGAGCCAAAAGCAGAAGCTTTGACCCACTGAGCCACCCAGGTGCCCCTCAACACGTTTTCATCTGGCTGTTCGTCTGTATCCCTTATCATATCGTCAATAAACTAAAAATCTATTAAGTAAGTGTTTCCCTGAGTTCTGGAACCTGCCATAACAAATTAATTGAACCTAAGGAAGGGATTGCAGGAACCTCTGATTTGTAGCAAGTCAGTTGTGGGTAACTTTATTGGCACCTACTACAAGTGACTGGCATCTGAAGTGGGGGGGTCTGGTGGGACTGAGCCCTTAACCTGTAGGATCTGCACTATCTACAAGTAGATAGTGTTAGGACTGACACCCTGCTGACGTCACAGCTGTGGGGGAAAAACCCTCACACATTTGGAGACCAGAACTGTCAGAAGGAAAGAGTTCTGGGTGAATACAAAGGAGATACACGGGAGAAAAGAACTGGGTTCTCTCTACTCAGGAATAATATTGGATTTTCTCAACATATCAATAGTCAAATATTTAAAATGGAGTCAGAGGCTTATGGTTTCTTCCCTGGCATGGAAGGAGTTTAGAAGGTGACATTTCTATCCTTACCAGAAAAAGCTAGCCAAGTAAAATCAATGATTCTTCTTAGACCTATAGAAGAATTGAGGTCACAGTACAAACTGCTGTCTCCAAAAATGGAGACATAAAATAGTTGCCATTTTGAAATATTCCTACAACATTCTGTTCTTCTTAACAAGATCTGTCCTCAAAAGATTGTTTCTCAAAAAAAAAAAAAATTGTTTCTCAAGAATCCCATGCGGTCAGGGAAGGAAGTAGCCTCTTGATTCCCCTCTGGCCTTTCTGCCTGACCTAAGTTGAGGGTGTGGGGGAACTTAGATACCCCTGTGGGATTCATAGGTCATTTTTCACTGCTCATAGTCAATATGTTGGGTTTTCCAGCGCATTGGAACAAAAAACAAAATGGTTTTCCAAAACCATTTCTCCAACTCTCAACTGGGTGGCCTACAATTCAATTCAATTCAATTCTAACACTAACCAGAGTTAACATCAGACTCTACAGTTTAAGGGTATACTCCCACAAAATGGTCCCCATGTTAGAAGCCAGCTGCAAGTGGGAGGCCCAGCCCTTGGAGGGTCCCTAGACAAACTCCCATGTTTGTTAATTCAGTAGAAACACTATTAGAATAAAATTTACTTATTATTGATTTATTTTAAAAGGCAAAAGTCAGAAATAGCCAAATGGAAGGGGTATACAAGACAAAGTAGGTGGGGGAGGAAGGGAACTTCCATGTCTTCACCAGATACAATACTCTCCTGCCACACTGATGTCTTCACCAAAGTAGAATCTCTCTGAATCCTGAGGTGTAGGGGTTTTGATGGAGTTTCCTTACATAGATAGGCATGACTGATGAAATCATTGGTGGTTGGTGAATAACTCAATCTCTAGCTCCTTCCCAATCCCCAGAGGTTGGGGGCTGGGCTGAAAATTCTAAGCCTCTAATCAGATCTTGGTCTTCCTGGTGACCAACCTCAATCTTGAAGCATTACTAAATGCTTGAAGGCTTACAAATAGTGGCCTCTTTGAAAATAAGATGCTCCTATCACCTTTCTCACCCAGAAAGTCCAAGGGCTTTGATGGTATTTAGTAGGAACTAAGGACAAAACCCAGAAATTTTGGGGGAGTGCCTGGCTGGCTCAGTCAGTGGAGCACATGACTGTTGATCTCAGGGTCATGACTTCAAGCCCCATGTTGGGTGTGGAGCCTACTTAAATTAAAACAAACAGACAAAAAAAAAAACCCAGACATTTTTCTTATTATACCAAAGGTCACAGCCCAGAGACACATGCTCATTAAAATACTGAGACCAATACTGAACACTTCCTCTCCATCCACAACATGCCATTACATCAGGATGGCCCCCATTTAATAACAATGGAATAAACTGAAAGAAATATACATTTCAGAACTTATTGTAAGAAGTCTTTTCAGTACTCCCAAAAATGACAAAAGCAAGGACACCTTGGGTATTTTAGCCTTTGACAGCTACAGAGAGTAAACATAGACTAAACCCTCGTCATATAAACATGAACCCTCAAGCTAAGGACATATTTATCCCAGTTCTTTTTTCACAGTACATCATGACTGGCATTCAACACCAACAACAAAAATATTAAAATACACAGTTTGAAGAAATAGTACAAGTAAAAGCACTTGATTCAGATGTAGCAGATATGTTGCAATTATTAGACGAGATGTAAAGCAACCATGGTCAATATGCTAAGCACTTTAATGGAAATAGTGGACAACGTGCAAAAACAGGTAGGTAATTTACTCAGAGATGGAAATTAAGAAAGAACCAAAAGAAATAGGCAAGAAATGAAGAAACAAAACAATAGAAGAAAAATGAAGAATTCCTTTGGGGGGCCTCATCAATACAGTGAAAATATGTGATGAAAGATTCAGTGAGCTTGAGGAAATGTCAATAGAAACTTCCAAAACTGAGATGCAAAGAGAATAAACAAAAAAGGCAAAACAAATCTAAGAAATTTGGGAGAGTGACACAAAGTGTAACATAACATAATTGGACTACATGGAGGAAAATAAAAACAGAAAGGAACAGGAGATATAAGTGAAACAATGACTGAGATACTCCCAAATTAATGTTAGACATGGAACTACAGATCCAGGAAGCTCAGAGATCACCAAAGATAAAAGCCTACAAATGCACACCTAGCAATATCATATTCAAAGTTGAGAGGAAAAGACAGAAAATCTTGAAAGAAACTAGGGGGAGAAAATATAGTTATATAGAAAGAAAAGAATTAATTCAGGCTTCTTTTCAGAAACATGCAAGCAGGAAGAGAGTTTTG